CTGTGTACATAATCAAATCAGCTGAAAAAATGCTAATTTTTCAGCATTTCACAGTGTTTCAAAATAAACATTTACTAAAATGCCATTTTATGAAATATATTTTGATGACGATTTATCGATTATAACATGATGCGCTACGAACGAGACAACTGATTGTATTCTGACCATGCAATCTCCATAATTTTGCTGACTGTTATACCACACATCAAGTTTATTCATTCATCTTCATGTATTATTTTCTTGTCTAGGTAATTTTTGTAGGTCTCCAATAGCAGAGGCTGTCTTTGCTGATCTTGTACAAAAAAGGGGCGTATCTCACGAATGGTTGATAGACAGTGCGGGGATATCAGATTGGCATGCAGGAGAACGACAAGACAGTCGTGGAGCTTCAGTACTCAAACATCACAATATCAAAACAGACCATATAGGAAGGATTGTAAGTTCTTGCAAGATTTATAATTTTCAGTATTGGAAATGAATTCACTGCTCTATGTAGTGATCATCCGTCAACTCTATTTTTAGCAAATATTTAAAAAAAATGTTGGTAAAAAATGTTATTTTTGACTTTGATATTTGGTATGGTTTGCAACAAAATGATAACAATTGTTTTGATTTGACAAGAACATTGTGGCTAATAGCTAATCGTTTGGAACATTATCAAATTAGTTTTGTTGATTTTCATGTGTCAAATTATACTTTTATAAACATAAATTTTTTGTATGCTGAAACATTACTTGTCTCCATTCCTTTGATGTGATTTCAGACATGTATGTTTACTCTAGACCAGTAACAAATCTGACATTAATGTAAAATGGGTGTGTAGCTTTGTGTATGCAACCATTTTGAATACTTTTTGGCAAGTAATTACATACTGGTAAATATCATGTTTTGTGCACTTGATGGCATCCCTAATCTATACCAATGATGTTGAGACTTACTAGTAGTTATTTAAAACGAGGGAGTCGTCACCTGCGCATGCGTCAGATGGCCATAGCATGTCATTCTTTACAAACAAGGGTCTACTCATGATCCTTTTTAGTGTGTGTTGTTATCGTCGCTTGGAACTCTATTCCCGTGCATGCGCACGTGATACAATGTAGTTAAATACCACTAGTAATGGTTTATTCATTCTTACCACTAGTAATGGTTATTCATTCTTACCACTAGTAATGGTTATTCATCCTTACCGCTAGTAAGGATTATTCATTCTTACACTAGTAATGGTTATTCATTCTTACCACTAGTAATTGTTTATTCATTCTTACCACTAGTAATGGTTATTCATCCTTACCGCTAGTAAGGATTATTCATTCTTACACTAGTAATGGTTATTCATTCCTACCACTAGTAATGGTTATTTATTCTTACCACTGGTAATGGTTATTCATTCTTACCACTAGTAATGGTTATTCATTCTTACCACTAGTAATGGTTATTCATTCTTACCACTAGAGATGGTTATTCATTCTTACCACTAGTAATGGTTATTCATTCTTACCACTAGTAATGGTTATTCATTCTTACCACTAGTAATGGTTATTTATTCTTACCACTAGTAATGGTTATTCATTCTTACCACTAGTAATGGTTATTTATTCTTACCACTCGTAATGGTTATTCATTCTTACCACTCGTAATGGTTATTCATTCTTACCACTAGTAATGGTTATGTATTCTTACCACTAGTAATGGTTATTCATTCTTACCACTAGTAATGGTTATTCATTCCTACCACCAGTAATGGTTATTCATTCCTACCACTAGTAATGGTTATTCATTCTTACCACTAGTAATGGTTATTCATTCTTACCACTAGTAATGGTTATTTATTCTTACCACTAGAAATAGTTATTCATTCTTACCTCTAGTAATGGTAGCTCAATGGTACAGTAAGGACGTTGCTGAAATTGTTATTTCAAATTTAGACTAAACTTTTGGGCAGTGTAAGAAATATCTCCAAGTGGATTGAAAATTGTTTTTTTTTCATGTCATTTTTTTATCTAGATGAGAAAACAAGATTTTCTGAAGTTTGATTATATTTTTGGAATGGACAATGACAATGTTTGGTAAGTGGAGTTAACAACATTTTCGAAAATAATTGCTAGTTGTCACTTATTTTGTGTGTAAGGGCATGCATTATAGAAAACAAAAAACTATATGGCAAGAATTTGTTTTGATATACATTGTTTACTTTTGCACATGGGATTCAAAATGTTTGATTTTGAAAATGCTGTTTGAGCACCATTTTATGTTGTTTTCTCATGGAGCATCGTAGGAAATGATGTGGAGTAATTTACTTTCCTAATAATACAATTGTAAACATTCACCAAAATCAAGTATTTTCAGAATTTTGGAACCAGGTAAATATATTCAGGAATGCATGGAAATGTTTTGTTTCAAACATGGCAGTTCATGAATCTGACATGCTTGTGTTAGTATTAGTAAGCATCGCGATAATCTGACATGATGCTATGTCATATAGAAGTTCATATGAAAAGTAGTAAGAGTAGTACAAAAAATATATGCAAAATATATAGCAGTACCGTAAAATCTGTATTAGCGGTAGAAGCTGCACCCATTCTTTTTGAATAACTGAGAACCAAAAAAATCATCATTTCTCATATGTGTAAACGTTCTAATAGAAGCCTGCATCCCCATATGTTGCATTGTACCATTTCAATAGAAGCCGTGGCTTCTAATACACATTTTACAGTACTGTGGAATACTTTATTTTCACTGGAATTAATTTTCGCTGAAAAGGCTTTTTGGGTGTTTTGTATGGAATTTATTTTCACTGATTTTTGATGAGTTTAATGTGAAATATAGGAAAAAAAGTATATTCGCTGGATTTTATTTTCACGGAATCATCCCTTCAGCGAAAATAGCGAAAATAAATTCCAAGCGAAAATAAAGTATTCTACAGTATATGTAAAGTATATAAAACTATGTTTGCTCTATTAGAAGTGCATTTGATCATGTACATTACACGTGTGTTTTGATTCTGTATTCAAAACATGCAATTTTTGGTTTCATATGTGTTTCTATTGGAGATGTCCATTCTAATGGAGCAAGTACGGTATTATGTTTCACTGTCTTTTTCAGGACCTTAGATAGTATGAAACCTAAATCATCAAAAGCGAAAATAGAACTCTTGGGTTCTTATGATCCGGATGGTGATGACATCATTGAAGATTGTTATTATGTAAGTTTTGATAACTTTCCTTCCCCCTTTCAAAATAATCATGGTTAGAGCTTACAAATGACATGGTATAAATGTACCTATATTAGACACACACCCCTATGTATAGGTATTACAACATTACAATTGTTGTGATGCATCCATGTGGGTCCCATGCAACATGTGTGAAATATAATGTTTGTATACAGAATATTAACATGTGCTGCGCAACGACTGTGCCTTTCTTAATTACAACTTTGATGTCATGAAATTTTAATTTTTTAGCTCTGCTGTTTAGCAGAGCTTATCATATGAGTGGTTGTCCATCGTCGTTCATTGTCTGCGTCAACTTTTTACTTTTTCGACTTCTTCTTTAAAACTACAAGCCTGATTGCTTTGATATTATACATATAGGTGATGATATCTTCAATGGAATTGTATTGCTAACAGCGGAGCTATAACAGCTGAGAGGCTGCTTGTTTAAAGTTAAAATATACAAATGATATATAACAACTGTCAAGTTTTTCAACAAAGTGAGAAATATTAGATTATATAATAAGACTGAAATTGTACAATCGGGATGATAAAATCACATCCTATATCTATATCACTTTTTCCAATATCATTACAAGTCATGGTATACCATCCCAACCTCCATCTGTGAAATTAGAAATTACGTCAAGAGAGAATTACAAGTCCTTGTATTCCTTGATGTTTTGGGCCTCAAATAACGCAATATCTTAATTTTCACGAATGTGACTTTATACTGTAAATTGCATGCAAGCACACATTTATGTCTATTTTCCATTAATTCCATTGATGAATGAAACAGGCTGTCTAATAAGATCAGACAAATTCTATTTTGAGGTACCAATCATTGGAACATTTCATGTTTGATTAAGTGTTCCCTGTGACATATGGTATACACAATCCATGTGCGACACATTGTTTGTTAATATGGCATTTAACCATGACTATTGTAGTGTTAATATAGAACAGTTCAACAAAGCTAATACACCACATTTTCCAAATTTCTATCTTAATTAATATTTCTATTTCATTTATTTACAGGGCGATGTATCAACTTTTGAATCAGTCTACCAGAAATGTAGGAGATCATGCGAAGCATTTCTCAATGGTATTTACAAATCATAGCAGTGGTTTTTTATTGCAATTCTTGCCAATCAGGTTTAGAAATTACTACAGATTGAGACAACTATACCATGTGACCCTGAAATCAACAAATTGTCTATTACAAACTATACAATTGAATTGACAATGACCATTGGTGTACATTTGTATAATTTCATACTATTGTAAGCTATTATTTTTAACACAAGGCATCATGGACAGTTGTTGAATTTACTTTGTTAGGTTTCAAAAAAAATGCATTGTTTCTGGTTCTGAGATGTTCAGTGGAATCAAGGCATACGGTATATACAAGGCAAAATTTGATAGGATAAAAAAAAAACCTGTTGACAAACAAGCTGCTCTCTGATTGGTCTTGCTGTTTAGTATTACGGTTGGGTAGCCAATCAGGTACAATGTTGTATATGTTGCTTTGCATTGACTCAAGATGTTCACACAGTGGTGTTGTGAGTGGCCCTGTTTGAACTGATGTGCTTGCATGGAAAGTAATCATCTGATTTTTGGTCTCGGGTAAAATGTGCATTCAATACACATGGTTCAGTTAAGTGATATTGCATGGCAATTAGCCGGTATGTTATCAAATGTATACAATGTAACAAGTCTGTATTACTCAAGGATTATTATGGAAGTGAAATTAAAGTGATAGTTTGTAATGTTAAAGTGCTGTAAATTGTGTTTTTCTTCACTCCAATACCTCAAGCCCATTCAGTGTTGCAGATGGAAGAAAGTTGAGTTTGACCATACACTGTTGATCTATCTGAAACTCTGTTCTTCATTGTTTTGTATCACCTTTATAGATAGATCATGAATATTTATAAATTACTATCTGCCACGTTTTATGAGAACGATGACAACACGGTGTACATGTCGACATGAACGAAATCTATCCATAAAAGACCAAGACCCAGTTATGGAATGCCAAAAATTCCTTCTTTTTTTTTGAGGATTTTTAGCACAATTTGATCGTCAAACCAATACACCTGAATATATAAAATTTGAACATAATCAGTTAAAGTATGGCACTACAACTGCAATCATTAAAACAAATGGCCACCAGTTGGTCAATTTAAATCTGATCTAAAAAACAAAATGACGTGCATCAAGGTCCTATAATGTCCAATGTATGTGCTAAGTTTGAACAAAATGTATTTGTAAACAGCCGAGATCCGGTTCCAGAATGCCAGAAATGCTCGATGATTTTTCAGCACAAAAATAACAGCCATTCAGCCATCTTGAATCAGATTGATGTACATATGTATATTATGCATGATGTACACGTGAAGTTTGACTAATCAGTCCAGGCATGTCCAAGCTGCAGGTCTGGATGCATGCACAGAGGTCAATCCATAAGTCCTCGTTTTCTGACTGCATCCAAACGGGACTGTAATAAAGTGCTAGCAGGGCTTGAAGGGGGCATGTTCACTTAAATATTGGTAATAGGCTCAACTGGGCAATAATAAGTCAATATCCATTTAGACCTGCCACTAATTGCAACAGAACAACTTTTCATAGTCGCATGTCACAAATATCCACCTCAACATATCCAAAATCCAAATGGGTTCTTTTCTATGAAAGACAAAAAAAAAATTTCTTGAAAAACTCTTGGTTGACAATACAGCAAGCAATATTGCTTCCAGGAATCTTATCAGATTTAGAGTCAAATTGCCTGCAACACAGCTGTATTGTCAATCAGTTGATTGCACTACTGGCTAGGTATAAATAAAACAAATTCGTTTTGATACAGATACAACTCTTAGCAAAATCATTCAGATAATATTGTACACATGATGTAGAGAAAAGAAAACACAAGATCAGAATTATAGATGTTTCATACTTTATTTCATCCATGCATGTATGTATAGCCACAATCCATAGTTGATTCAACACTGTAAGATCTCTATTCAAATAATTTAATATATAATGTACATATCAGTACATTGTGATAATACAAGTGACGACAGAGAGACGTGTACACGACTAATATACAACTTGGAAGTAGCTGAGCGCGAGTTCAAGTTCAGAAAATACAGCTACAGGAGATTAGGTGGGATTTTAAATACAGATACAGCACTTAAACAAAAATTATTAGAGTCCATGTACTGCTGGAATTATAAAAAATAAATTTTGTCAAAATTGGAAATGTGAAAAAACGTTTAGCGTTTGCATAAAATGTAGTGCATATGCAATGATTTATCTCTGGGTGGCAAAGCAGCAATGTCCCTCACAATGCATGCTTACAATCAGCAACTAGATTTTATATTTCAAATGCCATAATTTGTTTTCCTCCAAAATTTGGATGCACTGTAAAATCTGCATTAGAAGTTGCAGCTTCTATTAAAATGGTACACTGCATCAGAGGGAATGTGGCTTCTATTAGAGCATCTACACGTACGAGATATGAATTTTCTGTTCTAAATTGTTCAAAAAGTATCTGTGCGACTTCTATTAGAGATGCGGCTTCTTGTACAGATTTTACGATAACTTTTGGAACATTTTTATTTATGTATGTATTTTTATTATCACTTTTGTTGATTTTATATTAAATAGTCATAAATTTTCCATTGGCAGGTCTTGATCAAATTTTTTTGTAAAAAATAAAAAAAAAAATTATGTGGCATTATTTTGTGAATGGAGAAAAGTTCAATTTGGCATTCAATTAAGGAGACACCATTACAAACAAAACATGACATCTGACAGAACTATTGTTCACATATGATTTATGGTAATGTAGATGAAAGTACTATATATCATACCAACAAAAGGTACTGTATTTCACTTCAGAAGTGTATCTTTAATAAAGGTTGTACACAAGCCAAATTATAGTAAACATAGCATATAGTAGATATCAATTTGAGAATACACTTCAAATGAAACAAATAGTTTCCCTCTTCTGAGAAGGAACATTTCAGAATTTACATTACCAGAGACTGAGGTGCTACAACAGCTAGCAGCTCTTGGAGCATGGAATGTGCAGAAGAGGTCTATTGAAGGAACCGCTTTTAAAGACCTGTGATTTTTCACAGTACCAGTTAAAATACTGTAGAATACTTTATTTTTGCTTGGAATTTCGCTGAAGGAGTGGTTCAGTGAAAATAAAATCCAACGAAAATACTTTTTTTCCTATATTTCACATTAAACTCATCAAAAATCATTGAAAATAAATTCTATACAAAACGCCCAAAAAGCCTTTTCAGCAAAAATTAATTCCAGCGAAAATAAAGTATTCCACAGTATTGCAGAACATTTATGAAAAATCTGTTCCCTTAAATGAATGTTTTGGATTGCAATACAGAAACATTACAAGAATCTAGATGCATTAGTAAAGAATTAACATTCACATTACCATCCTGAATTGTATCCAACATTTTTTTTGTTTAGCTTCTAAAATACATTTCAGCAAAGTTATTAAAGCAATCTCTTTTTGAAGAGTTTTTTTTGGGGGTAACAAGAATGTAGTATTGAGAGTTGTGCATGAACACCTGATATATGTATGACCTGTTATCTGAGGTAGACGGTAGATTTATGGTACATGATTTTCAATGATGTATACATGTTTGGCATTCTCGAATGAAATTAAGCGTTCACATAAAATAGATTGAAAACTTTGAAAGACATTCAATACTCTTGAGGCAGTTAGGCTGTGTTATCCAATGTCGATGTCACTCGACTGTCATTCTGATAAGTATAGAAATCAGCAGGAAAAAATTCTGTGCACTTGCTTGGCCGCAAGACACCAATATGTTGCATTGTCTTGTTCGTTATCTACCTTTAGGTACCCTTTAGAGTCGTTGCAAATGTATGCTTGATATGTGGCTCGTTTATTTTCTGAACTTGAACTCCGTCATGCATATTGTGATTTATTTATTTTTTTGTATTTACTCGTTTTCATGTTCAATATTATATAAATTCTATTCAGCTGCTTGGCGACATCACGAGAGTATATCGATATCTTCTTCTTGCTGTTCGTGAATGGTTAAAGACATTACCTGGAAACGATAAATTGAATACAATTAAATACAAGAGATTAACCTTTTTATGTGCATTTCTACTCAATAAAATTATGCCTTTATAGCACAATGGCCTCTCATTGCCACAGCTTAAAAAACACAACTTTAGGGAGAGGAGGGTAAAACAATAGAAACCATACACGAACAGTTAAAAAAAAAACACTGTCTAAACAGTTTACTTAAATATATATTAATTAAAACAAAGAATGCAACAATATATGCCATGCTGTGAAAAAATAAATTGATCCCGACTTACGTTAACTCACACAACAATTATTATTCATAAATCAAGTACAAACGTGCCATACTTTACGAGTACTCACATTCCTGTCACTGGTTTTCTGCATAAAAAAACTTTGTATCCAGTTTATCACATCCTCACAATCATAACACACACTTGTTATAATTATCCATAATGTGATTATGATCTCTCACCTCTTCTTTATTAAACAGTCCACTCCTCTTCTCTTTCATTGCTTGTCTATACTCCTTCCTTTGTTTCTGTTTGATTGCCTTTTGTTGGTGCCTCTTTTCTCTGTTTTGTTTCTGTCAATCAAAGAAAGCAACAACAGAATGTTTATTACACAAAAACATGTTACATTTCATCATCAATTTAAACTTTGGCATTCTAAAATCAATGTCTGCAATGAATGTAGCCCAACTTCTACAGGAATCAAGAAGTCAGGTTGCTAAGCTTGCAAGTTATTTTATATAGCACTTTCGGTAAGCTCCACAGCCACTAGGATAGTCTGTGAAGGAAGCTTAAGTGCAGAACACTAGTTTTTCTGGAAGCATTGCCATGACAACAAGCTTGTGCCAAGTAAATAACTGAGGATAGCATTGT